TAGCAGTTAATAAGTTTTTTTTTAAGTAGGCTAGGCACAGTGGGTCATGCTTGTAATCCCAGCCGAGGCGGATGGATCACCTGAGGTCAGGCATTCAAGACCAGCCTGGGCAACATTTTGAAACCCCATCTCTACTAAAAATACAAAAAAAGTTAGTTGGGTGTGGCTGGGCACGGTGGCTCATGCCTATAATCACAGCACTATGAGGGAGGCTGAGGGGGGTGGATCACGAGGTCAGGAGTTCAAGACCAGCCTGGCCAAGATGGTGAAACCCCATCTTTACTAAAAACACAAAAATTTTATGTCCCAGAAATTCTGGTACACTATGTCTTCATTCTCATTGGTTTCGAAAAACATCTTTATTTCTGTCTTCATTTCATTGTTTATCCAGTCAACATTCAAGATCCAGTTGTTCAGTTTCCATGAAGTTGTGCGGTTCTGAGTTAGTTTCTGAATCCTGAGTTCTAATTTGATTGCACTGTGGTCTGAGAGACTGTTATGATTTCCATTCTTTTGCATTTGCTGAGGAGTGATTTACTTCCAATTATGTGGTCAATTTTAGAGTAGATGTGATGTGGTCCTGAGAAGAATGTACATTCTGTGGATTTGGAGTAGAGAGTTCTGTAAATGTCTGTTAGGTTTGCTTGGTCCAGATCTGAGTTCAAGTCATGGATATCCTTGTTAATTTTCTGTCTTGTTGATCTGTCTAAGATTGACAGTGGTGTGTTAAAGTCTCCCACTATTATTGTGTAGGAGTCTAAGTCTCTTTGTAGGTCATTAAGAACTTGCTTTATGTATCTGGGTGCTCCTGTATTGAGTTTGTATATATTTAGGATTGTTAGCTCTTCTTGTTGCATTTACCCTTTTACCATTATGTAATGCCCTTCTTTGCCTCTTTTGATCTTTGTTGGTTTAAAGTCTATTTTATCAGAGACTAGGATTGCAACTCCTCCTTTTTTTTGCTCTCCATTTGCTTGGTAAATCTTCCTCCATCCCTTTATTTTGAGCCTGTGTATCCTTGCATGTGAGATGGGTTTTCTGGATACAGCATACTGATGGCTTTTGACTTTTTATCCAATTTGCCAGTCTGTGTCTTTTGATTGGGACATTTAGCCCATTTACATTTAAGGTTAATATTGTTATATGTGAATTTGATCCTGCCATTTTGATGCTAGCTGGTTGTTTTGCCCATTAGTTGATATAGTTTCCTCATCGTGTTGATGCTCTTTACCACTTGGTATGTTTTTGGAGTGGCTGGTACTGGTTGTTCCTTTCTGTGTTTAGTGCTTCTTTCAGGAGCTCTTGTAAGGCAGGCCTGGTGGTGATGAAATCTCTGAGCAATTGCTTGCTCGTAAAGGATTTTATTTCTCCTTTGCCTATGAAGCTTAGTTTGGCTATTATGAAATTCTCAGTTGAAAGTTCTTTTCTTTAAGGATGTTGAATACTGGCTCCCACTCCCTTCTGGCTTGTAGGATTTCTGCTGAGAGATCTGCTGTGAGTCTGATGGGCTTCCTTTTGTGGGTAAACCGACCTTTCTCTCTGGCTGCCCTTAGCATTTTTTCCTTCATTTCAACCCTGGTGAATCTGAAGATTATGTGCCTTGGGGTTGCTCTTCTTGAGGAATATCTTTGTGGTGGTCTCTGTATTTCCTGGACTTGAATATTGGCCTGTCTTGCTAGGTTGGGAAAATTCTCCTGGATAGTATCCTGAAGAGTGTTTTCCAGCTTGGATTCATTCTGTCACATTCAGCTACACCTATCAAATGTACATCAGGTCTTTTCACCTAATCCCCTATTTCTTGGAGGCTTTTTTCATTTCTTTTTACCTTTTTCTCTATTCTTACCTTCTTGTTTTATTTCCTTGAGTTGATCTTCAGCCTCTGATATCCTTTCTTCTGCTTGGTCAATTTGGCTATTGAAACTTGTGTATGCTTCACAAAGTTCTCATATTGTGTTTTTCAGCTCCATCAATTCACTTATATTCCTCTCTAAATTGTGTATTCTTAACATTTCATCAAACCTTATTTCAAGGTTCTTAGTTTCTTTGCATTGGGTTAGAACATGTTCTTTCAGCTCAGAGAAGTTTGTTATTACACGCTTTCTGAAGCCTATTTCTGTCAATTCATCAGACTCATTCTCCCTCCAGCCTTGTTCCCTTGCTAATGAGGAGTTGTGATCTCTTGGAGGAATAGCAGTGTTCTGGTTTCGGGTGTTTTCATCCTTTTTGCACGGGTTTCTTTCCATCTTTGTGGACTCATCTACCTGTGGTCTTTGTAGTTGGTGACTTTTAGATGGGGTCTCTGAGTGGACATCCTTTTTGTTGTTGTTGAAGTTATTTCTTTCTGTTTTTAGTTTTCTTTCTAACAGTCAGGCCCCTCTGCTGTAGGACTGCTGGAGGTCCACTCCAGACCCTGCCTGCCTAGGGATCACCTGCAGCAGCTGCAAAACAGTAAGGATTCCTGCCAGTTTCTTCTTCCATTATCTTTGTCCCAGAAGGATACCCACCAGATGTCAGCCTGAGCTCTCCTTTATGAGGTGTCTCTTTGGGTAATACGGGGGTCAGAGAGCTGCTTGAGGAGACAGTCTGTCCCTTATAGGAGCTCAGGTGCTGAGCTGTGAGCTCTGTTGTTCCATCCAGAGCTGCTGGGCAGGTACGTTTAAGTCTGCTGCAGCGGAACTCATAACCACCTTTTTTTCCCAGGTGCTCTGTCCTGGGAAGGTGGGGCTTTATTTATAAGTTCCTGATGTGCTGCTGCCTTTGTTCAGGGATGCCCTGCCCAGCAAGGAGGTAGCCTAGTCACAGTCAGCCAGTAGAGGTGTTGCTGAGCTGCTGTGGACTCTGCCCAGCTGCTGTGTGAACTTCCTTGCAGTTTTGTTTATAGAGGTATAGTTAGAACTGTCTCAGTAATGGCAGTCTTCCTCAGTAATGGCAGACTGTCTCTGTAATGGTGGACTGCCTCGGTAATGGTGGACTGCCTTGATAATGGCAGATTGCCTTGGTAATGGCAGACTGCCTTGGTAATGGTGGACTGCCTCGGTAATGGTGGACTGCCTTGGTAATGGTGGACTGCCTCACTAATGCAGACACCCTTCCCCCCACAGAGCTAGACCATCCTGAGTCCATCTGTGCTTGCTGTGAAACTCTTCAGTTCAGAGGGTTTCAGATTGCTGGTCTTTTTGGGAGTGGGACTGGCCGAGCCAGATCATCTGGCTCCCTGTTTCAGTCCTCTTTTTTTCAGTTGAATGGGCGACTCAGTCTCCCAGGAGTTCCAGGCACCAGTTGAAACGATGCCCAGATTTGTCTGAATTTTTGTGCGGAGACCCGCTGCATTGGCTGAAACAGCCATGCTGGAGACTCGCGGTACTTTTCTGCCCTGGAATCTCCTGGTCTGCGGGCAGTAAAAATTCGTTTGGAATTGTGGTGATCACTCACCCTCTGCGTTTTTGCTGGGAACTGCAATCCAGAGCTGTTTCTGTTTGGCCATTTTGTCGAAGAATCCCCCACTTTTTTTTTTTAATGGATTTTGTTTATATTATTTGTCTATCTTCCATTGGGATTTCCATTTTTTTTCTTTGTGTTTTTTAGGAGCTTCTTTTTTTTTTGAGACAAGATGGAGTCTTGCTCTGCCGCCCAGGCTGGAGTGCAGTGGCATGATCTCGGCTTACTGCAATATCCACCTCCTGGGTTCAAGCAATTCTTCTGCCTCAGCCTCCTGAGTAGCTGGGACTACAGGCGTGCACCACCACGCCTGGCTAATTTTTGTATCGTTAGTAGAGATGGGGTTTCGCCATATTGGCCAGGCTGGTCTTGAACTCCTGACCTCATGATCCACCTCCTTGTCCTCCCAAAGTGCTGGGATTACAGGTGTGAGCCACTGCGCCCAGACT